TAAAAATTAATATTATATAATATTTAATAATTTTAAAAAAAATTAAATATTTAATAATTAAAAAGTATGAAGAAATAAAAGATATGATAAAATATATAAATAAAATAAGAGAGAAAAAAATATAAAAAATTTCAAATTCTAACTTTTTTGAAAAAATTTGAAATTGTACCATTTCAAGAAATTTTACAAATACTTAAATTTTAAATTCTTTATAAATTTTTTATCCAAACAAGATATTTCACCTCAAAAAATTTAAAATTTTTCAAATAAATAAATTATTCTATTTAAATTCCTAATCCAAACACAGTATTACTCTTTCTTCCATTCCTTCTCTTCACTTCTTCCCTCTTTGCTTTCTTAACCTTCTCAGCACTGCACCTCGACAACAACGACAATGAAGACAACATGTAGTTGATCTTGATGGGGATTTGCAGGAAGAGGCACCATCACCGTCTTGTGTTGGAGTTGGAAAGGAAGACGGTGGCCTTGAGAGTTGAAGGGGAAATTTCAAATGCATATTTAGGAAAAAAGAATAACAACGGAGAAAAAATAAGAAAAAACAAAAATCCTAGCCATCTAATTAAAAACTAATATATCTAATGGTTAATTAAAAAATGGCCTCTCACAATGGGAGATATCTTCTACTATCCCACCCTAGCATCCGTCCAATTTTTAGTGTCTTGTCAATTCCAGCATAGAAATTATAAGTGCCCAGCAGGAGAAGAGAATGCTGAATGCGGCACCATCAATTTTTTTTTTGTTACAAACATAATCAATTGATAATATGATATAGAGCTCAAGGGCAAACAAACCATAATTTAAATTCGTAGCAAAATGCAAACTGTACAAAGAAGATTCACAAGTTGAAATTGAAATTACGTCGGCAAGATTTGGCACAAACATTTAGAAAGAAAAGACTTCATCTGCAGTCATCATATCTACAGGCATCCTAGCGTTTTGACCAGCAATAGACCCCATTCTCGAGTCCATTATTTCCAATTGGGACTTTACCCATGGTGGATTGTATCTGCTCTCAATCCACAGAGCTTCCCCTGTGTCTTTGTGTTTGAAATCAGGAGCTTTTGGGTTCCTCTGCAAAAAAATATTTGAAGATATAAGGAATGAGAAGTTCAAAGTGACTTTAAAAGAAAATGGAGGATGCAATTGAGGAAATAACGTCGTTCACAATGATCATGAACTAAGACGTAACTATACAAAATGGCAGAGGATATGGTGCAATAACATTGAATGACTATGAAGTAATCATCACGTTACTCTATTTGAATCATTGAATTATTACTTAGATATTGATCAAGAACCATAAAAATAAATCGTTTTGTGAATATAAGGTAAGCTGCATTAGTCTTGGGATTGTTCCCTTCAGTGTTGGGTATATGTTTCTTGCGGGAGCAGACAACTACTGCTCATGGCAAGCAAACCAATGGGTACTACAGTTTAATCACATAGTCATCATGCTAACACGGAATGCATAAAAACATCAGTGAGATTTGTTATTGTTAATTAGAATAAAAGGCTTTTCGTGGTTCTTACTAAAGTGTAATGGGGACGCTAATAATGTGGATTCAACTGGTAGATGATTGAACAGCGCCCCCTAAAGTGAAGGGTCAATTATTCTTCAATGATGAGTCATTTAGTAAGTACCATATGAGACCATACCAATGCATATGACATGCCCTAACCTTGAAATGAAGCAGCATACACTATCCTAAACTTTAGTGCATAAATTTACTTGATAAACACATAGGAAACAAAAAAGTATCAAATATGCAGCTTTAATAAATTCAGAAAATTAACCACCTTTGTGTTCCTATTGTCCCACCACTCCCCCGGGTTAGCAAAGAACGCTTGCCACAATTCCACGACAGAACCAGTCCCATTGCTCACTTTCTTACCTGAAACAAATTAACAACAAAAAATAAAGCAAAATCACTTGCCACACTGCCAAGTCAACACACAGTTCCACACAACACATCACTTGCCACACTAACCAGCAGCGGCGAAATCAGACTCTTGCTCCCGCGACGACGTCGTAGAGAAACTCCTCTCGATGAAATTCAGCTCTTGAACAAACACCTAACCACAAACAACAACAAAATAAAATCACCACACTAGTCAATATGCGATTCCCAAGACATGCATTCAGATGTTAAAAAGACCTTGTAGTAAATTTGGGTCTTGCCGTCGTCGGTTTCGACGGCGTCGGTGACGAGGCGGCCGGAGACGTGGATTTGGTGGCCCTTGTGGAGATGGTGGGAAGCAACGTGCGCGAGGTCGTCCCAGAAAGTGAGGCTTATGGAGGACGCTTGCGTGGCGTTCTTCTTGACGGAGAGGCGGGTCCACGCCACCACCTTGCCGGAGGGGAGGTGTTTGAGTTCGAGGGGCGCGGCCACCACGCCGATGAGGCTGACGGAGTTGCAGAGCTCCTTCTTCCACGGAATCTCCGAGGGTTTGGGGTATGCCGTTGTCATCGAGCACTTCAATTTGACGTTCCCTTTAAAGCGCTGCGTTTTGCAGAAGAGGGAAGGGATTTGGAATTGGGGTTTTGTAATTGGGGTTTTGCGGAAGGTGGGGAGGTTCCTGAAGGTGCTTGAGGATGACACTGCCACTGCCTGCTCCAACGCCATGTCTCACTCTCACTCTGCTTTCTTTCCTCAAGATAAGGGAAATCTAAATTTCTAATCGGTTTCATACAAAAGGGCTTCGGCTTCGGCCCATTTCATTAGAACCTCTCTCCCAGCCCAGGTGCCCAGTTTTGTACCAACTATAGTGGGTTAAACATGATGTTTATTCATTCAAATAATTTATTTTATATATATTATTTTTAAATTTACTTAAATTAAAAATAATAAAATGTTTAGGAAACTGGCTAGTTACACTTCATTCTATGTTTAATATATTTATTTGAAATTTTACAATATTACCTCTTTATAAAAAATTTTTATTTTATGGTCGTTTAAAAAATGGATTAATTTGAAGAAAAAAAATTAAAGTAATCCTATACATTATTTAAAGTTAAATTGACTCAAATCTAAAATTAGAATTTCATACAATACTGCAAAACTCCGATATTTAGAGAAAATTATTTCTTATAAACTGTAAATTGTTTCCTCAAGTTGTTTTGGTGAACTTATTATAATAAGTTATAGTCATATCATAAGTTATTTTTATAAACTCTTTCTAACACTAAGTTATTTTTATAAACTTTCTCAAACACCCGTAAAGGTGAGAATTTAAATTTAGTTGGCTAAAATACATTTTGTCTCTTTAATATTATAATTTTGTTATTTCAGTATTTAAAGTTATAATTAGATAATTTTAATCTCTCAAATATTATAATTTTGTGTAATTTTATTTTTTTAATTTTTAATTAAATAATTTTAGTCTCTAAACTACAAAAATTATGTGATTTTAATCACTTAAGTATTACAATTATACAAACTTTTACCTATTTAAGTTACATATATAAGTAATTTTAATAATAATAAATATATATCATCGAATATATGAATGAATATTATAATTTATGTAACTTAAATAGGTCAAAAATTTGTATAATTACAATATTTAAGGGGACTAAAATCATCCAACTATGATACTTGAAATACTAAATTTTTTTAATAAAAATTTGAAAAACAAAATTACATAATTATGATACTTGAGAAACTAAAATTATTCAATTATAATCTTAAAAACCAAAATCACACAATTATAATATTAAAGAAATTAAAAGTGCAATTAAACCAATTTAATTTTTGCATAACACATTTAAAAACTGGCGAAGAATGAATTTTAAGTGTTACTAAACTCTAAATCAAGCTTATAGTAGGAAAGAAAGAATCAAAACTTCAAAAGATGTCCCAAGTCCCCCGTTAGAGAGTCAAAAACTTTAATTACGGTAAATACTTTACAAAAGTGTTTACACCATGACATACGTCTAAATAAAGTTAAATAAACTCTTCCAAATGGATCTAAGTAATTATCACATAAATAATAATCGTGCATCTTGGGGTGGATAACACTAATCATTGAGTATCTATCATGGTATGCATCAACTACTCAATAAAGTAAAACATTCCGTATAGTTGAAATCAAAGGATAAAAAGAAGAAAAAGACTTTATTTTTATCATCACATAATGAAAAGAAAAAATATCTATATAATACACTAAATAGTGTTGGTGAAGACACCTAGTCCAGTAAATAATCTAGGTAGAAAAATGCTAGTAGTATAATATTTTGTACAAAAACGATAGAGACGAAAAAAATATCAAAAGAGATAAAATGAAAAGAAATAAAAATATTATACAAATAACATAACTTATTGTTTGGTTAGGCAACTGCCATCAGCGCAGGTATTGTTTAGGAAAGCAAGGAAATGATATACAAATATTGAATAAAGACGTAAAGAAATAATATTTTATAAGAATAATTTTAATAACGTGAAACTAAAATTTAATTTTTTTTTATTAACTTAACACTTCTTTCGTCTTTCTAAATAGCCCTAGTTTGCAAGAATCGTGATTTATATATGCAATGTTACATTATGATGCATGAAGGGGCTAAAAGTCAAACTAATCCATACTTTTTTTTCTATCTCTCATTTATATCCAGAAATAAAGCGTACAAAAAATGATTTTCATAATTTCAATGGCATCATTTATACTGTACCAAAAAGTAAGCAAAGCTACACATGCAAAAGATCAGTTTTCAAAAAAATTCAAGATTGGTTCTTGGACGGAAAAAAATTGGTTAGAATCACTTCACAGTTCACACCCAATAGTCATAAATTCATTGAAAAAATTTAACACTCGCACAAGAAAACCTTAGTCTAGTATTTTTCAATTCATATTCACGAGCCGGAGTTGAGAGCAACAGTTTCCGTCACTTAGGATTTGAACGAGGTAGCCAATTGATTGATACGAATTGGATTAAGATAGCACCATACTTTTCATTCCATCACTCCCTCCATTAGAAAAAAGAAGTCCTTTAACTTTTAAATAAATAATTTCGGTGCACCCCAATGAAACAAAAGCACCATCATTTTCTGCTGGACTTGCAACACTCAGCATTCTTAAAGCAACCATTATCCATTTCAACTCTGCATTTCAAATTCTCTAAGTGTTACATCACTAATAAAAATATACACACCACCCTAACCTTTTAGAAGGTCCCACTGCCCACTACAAAAACTAAACCCCACTATAAAAGCGCTTCCATCACGTTCCACTAACCCCCACCAATTGATACAAAAAGGAAGAGCATATCAAGTGAACTTCGACAATTTCTTTCCCTTTACATGAAATTTATCAAGATGGGGTTTACTTGTATTTTGAAGGGCTTTGACATCAAACCCTGTCTAGACAAAAGTTGAAAGAACGGCAAAAAGGAAAAAGACTATGGCATCCTACTTTGAATGCAACTAGACACGAACCAATAAGGGGGTTTGAAACAGACAAATAACGCATGGCCACGTGGGTCCTAGCAGTGTTAGGTGAGCCCTTGATGGGACCACTGGATGGTGCATCCGCGCCATAGGTCTTCCTATTAAGGGGGATTAGTTTCAGGCTTAACTATACTAGAGGTGTCTGATGGTTGAGACTGGTATATTGCTGATGCCAGTGAGATGGGCATGATGCAGAGTGCTTTTGATTGAAGAAACTGCATGGCAGCCCCAACATTTTCTTCCATAAGCTTAGCTACTTGTTTTTCTGTTCCATCATTTGACCACTTCTCCCAAGCTGGCTGGTTTCTTCCCTCATTGCCTTCTTCCTGATAGATACTAAATTTGATAAATTGGAGAAACAAATTTGTGCTAACTACGCATTAGTTAATATTACCTCGACTGATGATAATGGGATGTCAGTTACAAGTGGTGCCACAGCACCGGCTCCACCCAATCTACTCATGCTCAAAACCTGAAAGACAAATGAATCAGCAGTCATTGGACGTCTTTTGCAATCTAGTTTCATATTGTTGACAAGTTTGTATCCTATTAAGTGGCTTGCTGTCACTTTCATATTCAAACACCAATGAGTGCTCCCACATATGTCAATGGAAATCAATGAAACTGGTTACTGTGAAGAAATTGATTTTATTATTCACAAGTACTGAAAATCCATGGGTGGGAAAAAATCAGTCCACAGCTGAGAACCCTTAGATGCTATTGGATAGTTAAAGTAGCTATAGCACAAAATAGTGTGAAAATTCCATCATTTGATTGTATTTAGATATTCACTAGTCTTCAGGAATAAAACCCAGGGGCTAATGGGTACTCATCAAAAGTGGCACTTCGGGTTCACAAGGCTGGGGCGAAGGGGTGAGTGGTCAAAAGGCAAAGCTTAACAGGTTTAACAAAATAATCCACAAATCAAACTAAAAGTTTTCATTAATTATAAATTGAGACCTAATAAGGATAAATATCAAATGAAATAAAATGTGAAGTCCATGCAGATCACAAAAGCAGTAACCTTCACTTGAAGCCTTAAGAACTTGACATAATCCACAATTTCGTCCAGCATGGTAGCTCTATCTGTCTGAACAAATACACAATAATATCAGAAACAATGGTGAAAGTGATACCGCAGAGGGTCAAGAAAAATACAGCACAAGACAGTAATGAAATCTCTACATCATGAAATACAGTAGACCTGTTGAATACTTCAAGAACTCACTAAATTTGAAGCACACCAAATCAGAACATATGCAAATGTTTTCTCTTTTCCAACCCCTTTGGTAGAGGACTTCTCCTTGATTAATCATATTGTAATAAACAAACAAATATGAACTATTATACAGAAATCATGTCAGACATGGCTATCAGGAGGTTTTTTTAAGAGCACAAACTTGATGTAAAAGTGATTTGAGAATTATATAGGCCATGGTAGATGCCACTTTATAAACTCAAACACAATAAGTCAGTATTCAATCATTCTTTAATATAAATATTAAATAAAATAGAGAGGCACAAACTCGCATCACTATAGTACCAGACATCTGACCTTCCACAGACTCCACAATGGTGGCAATGCAGAAGCCTCAAGAACTGGATGACCTTTCATATAGAGGTCTATGTTTCGTATCTTTGACTAACTAAGCATACATTGACAGGTAAAAACAAGCAAAAACAAAAACCTTGAGCATTAATTAAAAATCAACCATCTTTTGATCTATATTCTAGCTATTCTTCCAAAAAGAAGGAAGAACAAAAAACACAAGGCAAATTAGAGGAGCCCAAAAATTAACACTTCATTCCGGTCATTGCATTAATAAACCAATGAATAATGCAGTGCCCAGTGATCACTTCATATTCAAACATTCAATGTAATTCATTAATTCATTTGGAATCTCATTTGATGTGGGGGAAACAAGGTTCCTAGATAAACCAAAAGTAAAATATTCACATTAACAAATTTAAGCATTATATTTTAAGAAATTTTTACATGCAACAACAGTATTTTGTAAGAGTTTAGAACTGTAGATGGTTACGTACCAAGTTTGTAATGAAAATATCTATAAGATTCCATAAAATTACCGAAATCTATCAAGACAAATCATTGAATCAATGAAACACACCTTGAAAATATCCATTTTCAGCACTTCGCTTCTGGTAGTAATTGACAATAAGTATCAAATTTTGTTCAAAACCCAATAACAAATTAATGAAGTGCATATTTAATCATTTATAGAGTCAGGTTAAACATGAAACAAAATCCCTTACTTATTCATAGACAAAATTTCACAAGCTCTACAGATAAGTCTCAAACTACATATATTAATAAAATGGCATGTCCAAGAAGTCAAATACCTTGTTGACACTTGGAACGAGTTCCTGCAAAGCCCTGATTCTTTCTGCTATTCTCTCTCTGCGCAACTGCCATTGAATGACAACATGAAGAATAAATAAAGTTAGCTAATCGAGGAAATAACAATGTGATATTGTTATTGTAATCATTTACATATTAAGCATCACAATAAGAAGAAGAAAGTCTTTATTCTTGAAAATATTGAGTGCCCACCCTTTCAGCTATACTGTGTGGATCTGTAGCCTGTCCTCTTCTAGCCCGTACTCTAGGTCGCACTGCAGGTGGATGTGGAGCATTAGGAACAGTAGTGGGCATGGGTTGCCCATGAAAAACCTGCAAAAACGTTATGTATCAGCTATAGAAAAGAACCCCCCCCCCCCCCCCCCCAC